TGCCAAGACTGCGCTATGGAGTTAAAGAGGAGGAGGTGGCACTGTGGTGGACCTTCCACTTCACTTACCTGGTTGGCGGTGTGTACCAAGAATGCCCCTTATGGGTTACTACTCCCCTGGACTTAACGAAGTTGAGGATGTAGGAGATGGAAGGGACATAGTACTGCGTTGTCCTCTGCACATCTCTTGCTGAAGGAGATGAAAAGCCATACATAGCCTCCAGTGCTAGTACCGGAAGGAGACTCAGAGAGTAGAGAGGCTTCCCGACACTGGCAAAGGGGATCATGCAAACTTCGGTTCTCACTCATTCATTCAGTCATTCATTGTTGCTGTTATTATGTTTGACAACAATAAAAACAACTGTTACAATGAATGACGGAACGAATGAGCAAGAACCAAAGTCATAGGACGGACGATGATGGAAGAGCATAGGAGGGAGGAAACATCATCGATCTGCTCATGTTCTTCCTTTTCCTCTTCTCCATCTTCTTTTCTTCATTCTCTTTCTCTTCTTCTTCGTTCTCTGAGTTGAAATGAATGGCATCCTCCTAAAGTTGAGTTCGGCTTGTCGAATTGGGGGCACGATCTTAACAAAACTGCAGGATTGATGATGGCAAATCATTCATGCCGCTAAAGCTTCAGACAACCCTCAATAGACTTCGACACGCACAGTAAACCACAGCTGCATTGGGATCACAGTCACAGTGTGAGTAGCGAGCCTCTACGAAGAAATGTGGCTCGGTAGATTTCAGCACCCCCAGTCAATCATAGCATTGGCATCACACTGTGAGTATTGGCATCACAGTGTGGATGGGTTGGTTTCAATAATTTCCCTATGACCAAGTACAACGTAGGGCTGAGGAAGGCCTCAGCCTGCAGCCGGAGGCATGACACCTATCAGGCCCAGAATCTTTGAGGCACTACATAGTGAAATCTCTCTCTTTCTTTGCCCCAAAAAGCGGGTACTAGCCCTTAACGCTGCCAACCCAAAGAAGTGAAACCCCCGCAGGCCTCCTTTTGGCTGCTGCCGTCACTAGCCACTTTGCTCCGGTGGCCCAGACCCAAAAGTTGCACAAAAGTTGCACGGGCATGCAAGCCACATTTATTATTTCATAGCGCGGAAACGTACCCACATTTTTTATTTCGTAGCGCGGAAACGTACCGGTGCTTTCAACCACCAGTTCACCCGAAGCTAATCCGGTATGTTTCCCCCCCTACGAAATCAAAATCAAATTTGTGGCTCTTACCCACGTACACCGTAAAAAAAGCATACCCCTTCCAGCCTGGGCAGTAATGGACTGTGGAAGCCACGGCCAGAGGGCCCAGTTGAGTCGTAGGCTCTTGGGTCTCGGAAGGTATCTTTCTACAAATAGGCTCGGACGCTACAAAATCAAATATGTGGCTCTTCCCCATGTAAACCGTAAAAGCATCCCCCTTCCGTCCTGGGCAGTAATGGACTGTGAAGGCCACGGCCAGACGGCCCAGTTGAGTCGGCGGCTCTGGAGTCTCAGAGGGCAGCTTTCTACAAATAGGCCCGGATGCCCCGGTGTACCGTAACTTGTTCACTATCAGTTAGTACAGGTGGTGTACCATTCAGCACGGGACAACTTTATGTCACTATCTGATTTCCATCACGATTCGAACTCACGACCTGTCCACGAGAACGGACATGTGGTCCACGAGCACTGACATGTGGTGCACTAGTACTGACACGTGGCACTGTGTACCATTCAACATGGGCTCCCTTTTCAGATCCCCATGCAGGCGGAGCAAAAATTTCGACGTAATCCGGTTTACCTACATGCAGCAATGGACACAAGGCGCGAGATTCCCCTTGCGGCATCTTTTCTTTTCTGGCCGGTGATCGTTTGATAAGCGAAGGGCATCTTTTCTTTTCTGGCCGGTGATCTTGATAAGCGAAGGGCATCTTTTCTTTTCTGGCCGGTGATCTTGATAAGCGAAGGGCATCTCTTCTTTTCTGGCCGGTGATCTTGATAAGCGAAGGAAGGAATCCAGGTAAGTTGCGATGACCTGCTACAAGCTGCCTTCTCGCGATTCCCTACCGGTAGTTTACTACGAACCTGATCCAAGGCACAGACCACGTTCGCGGCCGCTCGCTTGGCATATACTTCTGGAACGAGTGAGGCCCGCTCATTGAAAGACGCAGCCTAATGTCGAACAACTTCACCTTTTTCTCTGATGGATGCATCGCTACGTTGCCTTACGGACTTGGTTCGTTCCGGTTTGCCAGAACTGACCTGGCTTGTTGCATTTGCTGAATTTATCAGGTTAGGTTCATTTTTTTGCCTCGGTGAGGAATCTGGTCCGGTAATCAGAATAGGTTTGTCTTTTGCCTCGGTGACGAATCTGGTCCGGTTATCAGATTAGGTTCGTCTTTTGCCTCGGTGACAAATCTGGTCCGGTTATAAGACTAGCGTTGTCTTTCACCTCGATGACGAACCTGGTCCGCTTATCGGACTAGGTTCTTCTTTTGCTTCAGCAACTAATCTTCAGCACTAATCTGGTCCGGTTATCGGATTAGGTTCTTCTTTTGCGTCGGTGACGAGTCTAGTCCGGTTATAAGACTGGGTTTGTTTTTCACCTCCGCCTCGATGACGAACCTGGTCCAGTTGTCAGACTAGGTTCGTCTTTTGCTTCAGCAACTAATCTGGTCCGGTTATCGGATTAGGTTCGTCTTTTGACTCGTTGACGGATCTGGTCCGGTTTCGGTTCCGTTTGGCAGTGCGCTGAACCGAGGGTTAGGTCCATGTTTTGGGTCGGTTACGACTTGGGTAAAGATTCGGATTGCCAGAATCTATCTGTCGTGGCTGGCTTAATCAGATTATGTTCGCTTTCCAATTCGGTTCGGTTTGATTGATTCATAACCTCTGGCTCGGTTTGCCTTCACCTCATTTCGCTGGCTTCTACGAGGCTAGATTCATCCTCTTTTTTCTTTTTTCTTTTCTTTTTCTTTTTTTTTACAAGAAAACACTACCCCGGCTAGATTCATCGTCTGTTTCAGTTCGCTTTTTATTTATTTCGTTCGGTTTCCGCTCGGTTTCTGTTCGGTTTTGGTCCGGGTTGATCTGGTCTGCGCAGAGGCGAAACATCTGCTCTACAGCGTTGGACAACAGCGTTCAAACTTCAAAATTTTCGGGGCGCTCAAGAGGTTGGGAGGCACTTGAGACGTCTGAGACGTTAAAGGAGTCATATCGTATGTGAGGGATCGAACCCGGAAAACCTGCCATCCAACCTGAGAGCAGAGCCCAGTGCTCAAGGAGGAAGTACCTTGGATGGTTGCCATGCAGAACGGACGATCAAACGGCCAGCACTGCTGGGACGTGTTTATCGGCCATCTAGAACGGATAAACAAATCCGCACAGTGCTGGCCGTTGATCATCGCAATCTATGGTCAGCTCCCTCTACTCCTTGTAAGTGGGACGGTGTCTCCCCGACCCTCTTACCATCTGCTGTTATGTTCGGCTCGTTGCAAGATGCTTCAGACTCGCCGAAAGCATGAGCATTCCACATCGAAGATGCTTCAGACTCGCCGACAGCACGAGCATTCCACACACCCGTTACAGTTTTTTTTTTCTTAATTAGCTTTCTCTCCTTTTTCTTCCCTTTTCTTTCAAAAAGGCGACGGCATAGAGATCATCGAACGGACCGGTCCTCGGTAATTCAGAATTGTAGTATCTCACTCATTTGCTTCCGGTGGAGATCGAACCCGCGTCACCGCGTGTCTATGGTAAATTACAGTTCGGCGGTGTACCGACTGCGCCAGTAGGCAAGTTGGTCCGTTAAAGTTTACCGTACAGACGACCATAATAAATATACTGCTTGCCAGCACGAAGCCGGAGAACGAAATTTCTAGTGAGTGGCAGGTATAGATGAAGAGAGAGAGAGAGAGAGAGGGAGTGAGCAGCTACGTACCGGTCTCTTGTTAATAGCAGCTCCAGCCCGCAAATGTAAAAAGCCGGACTCCAGAAACAGTAAGAATTTTAATTAATGAACTAGTAAAAGAAAAGAATTTTAATTAATGAACTAATAAAAAAACAGCGAAACTTTCGTTCTTTCAATTTCTAATTCACACCCACACAGTCCCAACAACGACATACAAACAGCGATTCACACGACGAACCAACGTGTTCTGCCCTCCAGTGAGTCCAGTCCGAATTTGACACCCGACCCTCCTCGAAAGCCACGTGATTCCTCGACCCTGATCCCGATCCCTCTGATAGATAGTAAGCGCCGTGATTCGTCGAGAAATCGAGAAAAAATCGACCTTCGACACAGACGCTCAGCTTTCGAGAGTCCAAACAACAGATCGAAATTGCATCGCACTTACTCTGTCTGTCCACATCTCTCGTTCGTGCCCCACTACCAGCCTTCCCAATCCGCTGCCGTTACGACTCCAGGCCCAGCGAAACCTTAAACACATCAGGCTGCCTTTGTGAATCAACACGCCCACACGAGTGCGCTATGGTTCCAAGAATGCACATGCCTGCTCCTCCAGAACATCAGAGTCAATCGTACATTCAATCAAGTCCGTACATTCAATCAAGTCCGTACATTCAATCAAGTTCCGTACATTCAATCAAGCTCCTGCACGTCCGCTTACACCCATCTTAGACATTCCATCCCCTTGCAGTAATTGGATAGGTGATTTTCCCTACAAAGGCCCTTCAAGTTCAGAAGAAATTTCTACAGTGCATTTATTCCGCCGGAGAAGGGGCGAGAAGGTCCGACCAGGAAAAAGAACCGGGAGGGAAAAGGGGGTTTGGGGGGGGAGGGAGGAGAGAGAGAGAGAGAGGGAGAACTCGATCAGAACCTGGGGAAGATAACCGGGACCGTCGGGAGGAGGAGAGGAGAAAGAGAGGGAAGGGAGGGGGGAGGGAGGCGGCGAAAATCGGCAACGATTTACATATAAGTGAATTTCCTTTTTTTTTCCTGATTCGTCAGCCGATACATGTCTAGCAGGTACAAATCGCTCCCCTGGCATCGTCGTATGCTTAGTGCCCTTCTAGAATAACGTTCCTCACCCGCGCAGTGAAAGTCGCGCGCTAGCATAGTCTTACCCTTAGCGCTACCTTCTTCCCCCGAATAGTACGCGAATACAACGTACGCTCATTACAGCTGTATTTGAGGCATCTTTCAGTCTAGATACAGCTATAATGACCGTACGTTGTATTCGGGGGAAGAAGGTAGGAGAAGACTATTCCCAACAACGCCGCATCCGAGACAACAACACTTGGAAAGATGGACGTATCCCTCGATCGATTTCTCAGAAAGATGGACAGAGGCTCGTACAAGCAACAGACATAATGAGATCATACTCACACGAGGACTTTGCTTCATTGCCGGAAGTATCTGGCGGCTTTTACGCCCAAAGCCTGGATGCATGGGACTTCAACAACGTCCGCCTGTAAGTTAGTCCTTTTGTGAGAATGCCCTGAGTCACGTATTTGCTGTCAGGTTGTGCATTCAAAGCAAACTTTTTTTGACGTACATGCCACCCCTGATTGAAGCACACATCAACATAGAAAAAGGAAACGACGTAACGATGCCCAAAAAAGGTAAAAGAGGGAACCCGCTCGGCGGAGGCCAGAGGGGGTTCTATGAAGTTCCCCGTCGCTCCCTGACAAAATCGGAAAACGACGAACGGCATGCCATAAAGGAACAAACGCAATCGGAAAACGACAAACGGCATGCCAAAAAGGAACACACAACAAAGTTTGCGCGGCAACGATAGCGCGGGAAGAGGTGGCAAAAATGCTGTGCGACAGGATCGACATTACAAAGAGCTATGGTAGGGGGCCGTAATGCTGAGAAACTCGGTGAAGTTCATGTTCCTGGATCGATCGGTACTCGGACCTGACAAAAACGGAGAAACACCGTTTTTTAAAAGACAAGTCCCCTGCAAACCGGAGATATCAAAACCTAAGTGCTCATTGATCTAATTAGGTACCATCATCCAAAAAATGAACCATACTAAAAAGTTCAATTCTATCTGCGCTCTGCCATTTCGATCCCGACCAGTGCTAGCTCTATATGAGCCTCAGGGCCTCTATCCACCACTCACCAAAGTCGAGTCGTCGTGAGTTCCAACGTTTCGCTCCGCCACCTCAACACGGCCGTACTGTCAGATGGCTCCGATGAGAACTCACCGCACTGATTTTGGTGGACAGACGGCTTCGATGAGAACTCACCGCACTCTGTTTTCCGCAGTCCCGGCCTGCAACGTCGGGGTCGCAGTGCCTCCTCCACGGCTCCCGCCAAAATTGGTGAGTACCTCAAGAGTTCGATTGCTCAAGAGTGTTCCCACCTTGTCGTCTGATAATCACCCGTGTGGTGAGTACTCAAGCTTGGTCGGTGCTGGAGCGACGGCAGCCTTTTGCTAAGAGTTAAGATTGTTCCCACCTTGTCCTGTCAGATGGGCCTTTTTTTTTTCTGTGGAGACTCGAGAGACGGCTCCGATGAGAACTCGTCACACTCTGTTTTTTTTCCCGCCTGCACCGGCCGTGTTGAGTTCTCACCGGCTCCCGCCAAAACTGGCTTGACGGCAGTTTTGGCGGGAGCCGTGGTGAGTTCCAACGTCGCTCCGTCACCTCCGCGGGGTCGCAGTGCCTCCCCTACGGCTCCCGCCAAAACTGACGAGTAATTCTAGAGTTCGATTGTTCCCCCTTGTCGTCTAATAATCACCCGGCGTGAGGTGAGTACTCGCGTTTTGGTGTGCTGGAGCGACGGCAGCCTTTTGCTGAGAGAAGTCCTGTGGTGAGGAGGGCTCACCAAGGGGGAGGAATCGAGTTTGGTGGCTGGTAAGCCGAGGCCCTTTAAGTGAGTCGTCTGCAACAGGTTAAGAAAGGTTGCTTTAACGACCGACTCCGAGAAAAGGTATCAGGACAAAAACATGTGGAATAGGCAGAACCACTCATACAAATCTAATCTGAAGTAGGCTTTATCTGTAGTACCTCTTACCCCTAAAAGATAGTTCTCGTGAGATGAAAAGTTTGGCCATATGCCCGAACAGATCGGTGCAGCTAACCCTTGCGGGCCGTTACCGCGGAAACCAACCTTACCTTTTTGTGCATCGCATCTCTCTCTCTCTCTCTCTCTCTCTCTCTCTCTCTCTCTCTCTCTCTCTCTCTCTCTCTCTCTCTCTGTGTGTACCTTCAACCCCTCTGCCTCCCTCCGCCCGCGGCCCGTACCCCGTATTGTACACGATCTTTCGGCAACAAAATAGTTGCGAGATGCTGTGTTGCACCTCTCTCTCTCTCTCTCTCTCTCTCTCTCTCTCTCTCTCTCTCTCTCTCTCTCTCTCTCTCTCTCTCTCTCTCTCNCTCTCTCTCTCTCTCTCTCTCTCTCTCTCTCTCTCGTATAGACCTATAAAACGGAGAATTCCTACAAGATGTCGATCAACACCCCCCCTTCCCCGCTGCGGACGAGAACGAACAGCTTTCCTCATCTAAGAGTCGAACGCAAAAGATTGAACGAACAAACAGATCACGACACACGTTTTCCTTACAGAAAAACGCAGACTTACAAAACCAGTTTAACGAACGGTTCTCGTGACGGCAGCAGCAGGAGCGGCGAATGAGACTGTACTGAGTGATCAACCGATCAATCAATCAACGGCAGATACTAGACGAGCCCCAGACAGAAAAAGGGCAGCAGATACTAGACGACCGAGGCAGGCACGAAAATAGTAAAAAGGAAAGGGAAGTGACGCACTTCCACACGTTCTCTTCCTTCAAAATCATTACTAGCGAATGAATCATCGTCCCATGCTGGAGGAGCGATGAATGCGTGCCACGCGCGGTGGCGGCGCTTCCGTCGGCTTCGGCTTTCCCGATGCATAGACCGCCAGGTCATCCCCCGTGAGCCGACATATCCTCCATTCGGAGTGCACCTTGGCTCCCAACTTCTCGTAGAAGGAGATGGCCTTCTCGTTCCAGTCGAGAACCATCCACTCCAGGCGCTGCGCGCCTTCGCGGGCGGCGCGCTTTGCCACCGATGTCAGCAACATCGAGCCGAACTTCCGACCTCTGTACGGTGCCCGTATGAAGAGGTCCTCGATGTGCACGCTCTGCTGCGCCAAATAGGTCGAAAAGTTGGGGTAAAACAGCACGAAACCCACAACCACACGATCAGGATCGACGGAGGACAAGAACGTTGATCGGCAAGGATCAACCACCTGCGAAAGGTCTTTCATGTGCAGTTGTACGGCTGTCTCCTCGTCGATTCCCGAGCCATCCGGCAATCGCGGCCCGCACAAACGAGCGTCGGCGGAACACATATCCGCGTGCTGACTCCCATTCCCACCATGTACCCCATCTCCTCCTTCTCCTCCTCCTCCGTCAACGCTTCCTCCCGGTTGACTTGCATTCTCCTTTATCTCCAACAGCAGCACGGTCACCTTACACGGACCTTTATTGGCGATGGCCGCCTCCATCGTTTCACTCGTCGCTTTGCATATATGGCTCAGGTTATCGAACTCAGCCAGACTGTGGACGATAGCAGAGACTACCTTGGCATCGGAAGTCTTAGCAACACGGATGTAAGCCGTGTGAGTGCCCCGCGCGGAGCTCGCGGCTATGGCGGCGGAGTTCGAGTCACCCATCGCTCTCTTCGTCCAGCCCTCCGTTCGACCTTCTCCGCTTCGGCGATGCCGCGCAGCATCCACGACTGGCACCGCTGTTCCTCCCTCACGGCGGCAAACAACGGTATGGGCACACGGGACAGACTGGAAAACAGCTGAGAGCCAGGTGTGCGTGCGTGTGTCGCACTTCCTCGGAGTTGCCGAGGGTCAAACGAGACCCGCCAACGGGCACAGGGGCGGGCCGGCTCGCTACCCGGCCCTATCAGCCGAGGGAAGGGCGGTTTCGGTTCGGGGTACGTTCGGATACTACTCGGATTCCTTCATTACTCGGTGGGTCGGACGCTCTGCGTGCGGACGCTCTGCGTGCGGGCGCTTGCTTGCTTGCCCACTTGCTGGCAAGCGCTCTCTACCCGAGCGTACGGACGGCTTGCCCACTCGCTCGCAAGCCCCCTCTACCAGAGCGTACGTCCGTCCGTAGGTGAGTCTCCTGTACCGTAGGCTTATTGTTCATATTTTTCCTTTCTTGCCTTCGCCGAAGAGAGCTCAGTTGGTAAGGCACACTAGTGGCATTCAGGAGGTCTTGGGTTCAATCCCCATGGCCTCATGTACCTTGCTGGGAAAGCTTGGCGCCCGCCACCTAGAGATACGCCGTTGGTCCCCCCGAGTGGGATTGAGCAGAGGCTGCTGATGTTCATAAGGAGAGGGGACGGGAGGGGAGGCACAGTGACTGGCCCATCGAAAAAGCTCGGTCCTGATGCTACGGGCTGACCCCTGGCCGGTATCGCCCACCTGCTGGTGGTGGGTGCAGCTCCCAGATGTTCCCTCGTTGGAGGCTTGAGCACGGATGTGGCTGCTATGGGGTTCCCCGCAATACTATAATGACAATAAAAGAAATGGCCTGAAAGGCCGTCCTGTCCAGATTCGACAGGTATACCTCTGCCGCTTGGGAAAATAGTGGGCCTCGGGTAGGCGTCCGACCTTTTCAGAGGCCGAAACGAAATGACGGCCGCCGATCAGATTTATCAATGGAAGTCGTCGTCAGGCCCGACCTCCGAATATTCAAGAGTTTGGGAAAACTGCCAGTTTTCCCTACTTTCCCACGCGGGAGAGGTACTAGAAATAGTCTTTTTAATAAAAAAAACAAAAAAAAAGCTATGCTTGCAGGGGTCCCATGTATAGCCTTAAGGGTAGTGGTAGGTAGGCAGTGAAAGAAAGATGTGTCCCATAATGGCTAGAAAGCCAGTTAAAACACCAGTACCTAGCGGTTGTTAAGGCCCGTGGCTCAGCCTACCGGTAACCCGAACCTCGCCGAGCCTCGAGCTACCGGTACGTACACAAAAAAAAAAGAAAAAAAAAAAAAAAAAAAAAAAAAAAAACGATAATTCCCGCTGTCTCTTATACACATCTAGATGTGTATAAGAGACAGGGTTATAAGACTAGCGTTGTCTTTCACCTCGATGACGAACCTGGTCCGCTTATCGGACTAGGTTCTTCTTTTGCTTCAGCAACTAATCTTCAGCA